CCAACGCATCATACAACCTTGATGATGCCAAAATGAATGCGTCCTGCCATAACGGAAATGGAATAAAACCCCCACCCCCTCAAAAACCACCTCACTCCAATCAAACTGGCGATTGAAAGAGACAGACAAAAAGAGGGCGAGAGAGAGAGAGGAAAAGAGAGTGGATGAACGAGCTAGAAACATTCGCAAATGGCTGACAAATATGGCAACGGCGACGCGTCGCAGCAACAATTGAAACTGTTTTTGTTCAAATTTGCAGAAGAATTGACTGCTGCTGGGAGCTTTGATGAGCTAAGCTGAACTGAGCTGAGCTGAGGGGACGTTAGATAGAAATGGAAGGCGACAAGTGCGAAAGGATATTGGTTTCTGGGGAAAAGCATCGGTTTATTGACATTTCCAATGCGTTCACAGCTCTTAATTAAGGTGTAAATTTCCCCCAATATTGAATGCGGCGCAGACAAAGCAAGGGTTTTTCCAATTGAAGTGTGGGGTTTCCTTTGATGCCATTTTGGTAGTAGAATGGCAGGCGAAACGTGGTTGACTATATGAAGGATATGAAGCAAAAGCAGGCTCTTTTATATTGGATTTTGTTGCTTAACTTTAGATATTTGGCATTATATTAACTACACATTTAACTTAGACTTACAACCATGAAGAAAACTAAGAAGAAATCTGAGGAAAAGTCCCAGAAGAAGCCGAAAAAGATCTTCTCGAGTGGGGCTACGAATGAAAATGCGAAGGGAATCCAGAAAACAGCACCCAAAACCAGAATCAAGAAACAGCAAAATGTGTGGCAGGCAGAAACGAGAAAGCCCGAGAAATCTGTGGAAAAGTCACAGAAGAAGCCGAAAAAGATCCACTCAACGGTGGCTAGAAATAACAACGCGAAGGGAATTCGGAAAACAGCAAACAGAGCCAAAACAAAGCAGCAACAAAGTGTGTGGCAGCCAGAAACTAAGGAGCTGAGCCAGACCTCGTCGGGAAGTATCAGGAGTATGAAGGCGATCCAACACAGTGCGTTCACAATACTGTACCCCAAGGAGCCAAAAAAAGTGACCATAACGACGCTAATACAGATCAAAAGCACTGGTCAGGGGTCAAAGTGCAATGCAAGCAAGAAAAAATTGATTCCCATCGCAAAGGTTCAACCAAGGAAGAAGTGACAGGCAGTTTATTTAAAAAACAATTATTGGAAAAATTATGAAATATTTGTTAGATTTGGAAAATCATTTGTAAATGTTTTGCTGATAATAAAATAAAATTCAAGCGTCTAATAAAATCATTTATGTTAAATTTATAGGATAAAGAAGTGATACCTTCAATTCACCTAAAGCTTTAAGTGAGAGCCTACAAAAGAGGGAACCATTACCATCCATAATTTCCCATCCACTTTCAATGGCCAGCGCCCACTTAGGCTGTGGCTTGAGGGAACCCCCAAGGACTAGTGGGTACCCATAAACTGGAGCAATGATTGCCTCATTGTTTGGCTTTGGCTCTGGACTAGGTACTATATGGAATATCATGTTTATCCAGCAGAAAATAATACATAATGAGCCCGAAAATCGACCAATTGAATTCAATTATATGTATTACACATACAGTACATACAGTAGTGTACACAGCCGTGCAGGTCGTTGGGTCAATGATGTGGTAAATTATTCACAAAGCAATTGACAAATGCTTGACGGGGCTGAATTATTTCTAGAACAATTAAGTGGAAAACTAACTATCTGCCATTTAAATGTTTCGTGTTCGACTTTTAATAGAACTTTTCGAGGCATAGGAAAAGTATGTCGTTATGTGTGTGTGTGTGTGTGTGTGTGGATTGGGCTGGATGTAAAAACTACTTCCAGCACTTTTCATTATTTATGAAAACCAAGCAAACCAAAACACATGTCAGGCCAAAAGCCACGCAAAGGCAAACCCGAGGCAGCCCAGGGCCAGGCCAGACCTCCGCCTCGTTGCCCCGTTGCCCCTTTTTTTTGTGTGTGACCTGGCATCATGCAACCTTAGAGCGAGACAGCGAGAGAGTGAAGAGCCAGAAAGAGAGAGGAGAGATATTGCCCGACGCAAACGCACTAAGTGCAGGACGTGTCGGATCCCTTTGAGTGCAACTGGAGAGCTACTAAACCACCGCAGCACCGGCTTGCTGCCTTCTCAGCAGATTTTGATTTAACTAAAATTAAAATCAGCTTCGTGCCCCGTCTCACTGCCACTGCCACTGCCACAGTCTCCACACCCAACCACCCACCCAGCTCTGTCCAACTGCATATCCTTGGCGACCGACTAAGTGACCGTTTCCCCACACACATGTCAGTTTATATTATCCGAGCGCATTTATCTCGCATTGGCAATTGGATTTGTAATGTGACCAAAGCCAGACAAAACGACAGGATAACAAAGCAATGGCAATGGTCATTGAAAGGGACAATTGTGTCAGTGTGTGTGTGTGTGTGTGTGTGTGTGTGTGTGCATCGAGAGGTTAGCTGATGGACAGCTTGACGGAGGGGTACAGCTGTGCTTTTGTTCGCTTAAGATTACGCCACGGACTCCGCACGGAGTTCAAATAAAGTGTTCTGACCTTTTTAGCTTGCGTTCAGATTTTATTCATTTGCAATGATGTTTGATTGAACAGCTCTCAAGTGCTGCGCTTAAATTAAATTAAGTTATTTGGGGTCACGATTTAGGAGAGGAATACGATCTAGCTGAAAGTATCATTGATTTTATTAATTAAATAGGATATTTTTATTTAATTTTTTTATTGTTTACATACAACATTTCACCTTTAAACTTTTTATTAAAATAGTAAACTATTATTTAATTATTTTTTATAATTATTTATTATTATTATTATAATAATTGATTTATTTCAAGTGCTGCGAAAAATATTATATGGTTTAATATTGTTAGCTCTGCAAAGTATAGTTTATGTTTGACCTTGACCTATACAAAAAATATTTAGAAGAAAAAAAAACTGAAATTAAAGCTAAGCATGTTTGAAATACTCAAATTCTATTCCATTTCAGCTGAAAGCTTTTCCCCTTGCTGTACTCTAAATAGATTTCCCTCTGCTTCAGCTAAAGATTTATGGCACAACCACCCTTACCTGCAGCCGTTGGGTGTGGAGAGCAAGCCAGCAAGCCGTAACCCCACTGGAAGTGTACGAATAAAGTATATATCAATGCCTCAAATCCAAACTAGTACACATCATTACCATGACCGGCAACGACTCGACCCAACGCACTATACCCAGACAAAATCCGAAAACGCAAAGTTAAATGCGTCGATGGTGTGATGGTGTTGCCGACACTAGACACTCCCCAAGCTGGGGCAAGGACAATTGAAGTGCACACACGGTACAGCACGGCACGGCACCATGGCAAAGTGGAGAGAGTCGTGAAGCACTCAGTTATATTGTCCGACTGACTGACTGACTGACGGTGAAACAACCGCACCCCAAAGTGCTTGCCCTGGCAGTGCATAGATAACAAACGAGTGCAAGGATAACGAGGATACACGGCAACGGGCTACGGCTACGACTACAGCTACAGCTACAGCTACAACTGCGGAAGTAACGCGAAAAATGGCGCAACAGTAAAAGCAGCGATACTTAGACATTGAAATATTGAAATACAATTGGTTTAGGATTTTCCATGCCCCCCCTCAAGGCAAACAGGATGGCACTTAAGGAGGAGAGATGGAAGATGGCGCTGAAGGATATGGCATAGGAGGCGGCTTTGCGGCTTTTGAGTTTGGGGGCCAACCTTCGCTTAAAGTTTAGCGAGTTGATTTAAATAATGCACATCAAATATTAGATATTAGATTAAAAGCTCAATTCTCAGACAAAAGAAGATCAAGCAAATTAATGGCGATGGTCGGTCGGGCGGGGCAGGTGACTCGAAATGCTGTTGAAGCGAGTGACGCCACCCATTGAAGTGCCACCAAGGTAACCACCTCCTTCACCTCCTTCAGATTGTCCTTCGTCTAAGGTAGTTAAATTGCGCGTCAGTGTCAGCGGCAGAATTGAAATCCTTTTTCCCTTGCAGGCACTTTTCCCCCACTCTACTCTCCACTCCGCCTGCGTCAATCACGAAGCGTTCTCCACCATTGAGTGGGACACGTTTTCGAGCAACTTTTCCAGCTGCGCCGAAAAGTTCGCCACAAAACAAGGCGACACATGACACGTACTCGACTTGACTCGACTGGAAGCTTCCTCCGCGTCGTCTCGACTGAGCTGCGTACCCATGCCACAAATGCCACCCAAAACACAGCCAGCCACCCTCCCAGTCAGCGGGGATTATTTTTAGTTTTTGTCAGTGTTTTAAAGTTTAAAGCTCTTTTGTGGCATATTTGCATATTAAGTGGCATGCGTTGGGCTGGAGCACGACAAAGGCAGTAACGTGCCACCAGAGCCTTTTGAGGGGCGGCAGCAGGTGTTGATGTTGTTAGTTTTTGCCTAGGCTTACGCTTGAGCCAACTCTCTAACCACCGCCTCCCCCCAGCCAACACGGAAACCGTTTTCGGGACAAGTGGAAAATTTCAAGCAGAAATTAGAAATAAAACATATCGAAGCATGGAACACACTAGCAGACTCTCGGATGAATTATTTTAGTTATATGCTTCAGCTAAAATATATGTAGAACGCACCCTAGGAGACAACAAATCGCTAAAAGGTAGACTGTCACCCCTCCTATACGCAGGCTGAAAATCATCGCTTCTATGTCCTGCAAACATCTCAAGTAAAATCCCAAATACCCGCAGCAAGGGCATAGAAAATCACTGCTGTCAGCATTAGGATTACCTTTCTCTGGCTGTATTTGCGTGCGTGTGGATGGGGTTTTAGATGGGGTTTAAGGTTCCGTTTGCTGTTCAAAGCCTGCCGCCAAAGGGTCTCAAGTGCTCCGCTCCGCTCCGTTCCGTTCCACTCAGTTCCGTTGCTGTGTTAAGCTCAAACGAGCTGATAAGTCAAATTAGCATAGATTGATGAAAACTGTTGTCGCTTTTGGAGGATTTTGCTTTACATTTACAATACATTTGGAGGAACATTGAGCAACACTACAGCTAAGACTTTTACAATACTCAGTTAACATTTATCACTTGTCAGGTAATACAAATCGGTTGTTTTATAGTAGCTTTCTTTTCCCACAGAAATTGTCCATACATATACGCGTTTTTGCTCGAATGGCTAGGTGCTCTTCATCAGTTGCTCCACACGCAGGCTGGTGGTCTTGACCAGGGCCTCCGTTGGATGGGAGCAACCGTTGATCACACCATCGACGCAGGCTCGTACCGTAACACGGTAGAAGGACTCTGGCCTGAGTTCCTTTAGGTAATAGTAGTGCTGAGTGCCTGGCAATTTGATGCCGCTGATCTCCTCCTCGATAGTACATTTCTCCTCCACCATCTGGCCGACAGAGGCATGGGCATCGTGGCACTTTTTCACGGCATGCGGGATTTGCAAACGGCCGATATCCAGATCCTGAACTGAACGTTGCTTCTGCTCGCTTATGTTTCGATACAGCTCGTACTGCATGGCAGCCAGCTTTTCCAGATTAATGGTTAGATTGCTGGGCGCTGGAGTGGTTGTTGTTGATGTTGGTTGGATCGTTGGCTGTGGTTCTTTCTTCTTCACGCCAGCCTTCAGATCATCAAAGTCAATTACTTTGTCGAACTTATCTCGCTTTGGCTGCTCCTGGCGACGTCTAAAACAGAACAACAAATCGAAACATTTTATGGCTCTGGATGAAAGAATGGAAGAATAGCTAAGAACCTACGAAACATAGATTAGATTGGGCAAGGCATCTTCGTAGGTGATCTGCTCCTTGTTGTAGTAATCCTCATCGTCTGGCGGTGGCCCCGAATCGTAGGGCACCACATCATCGCACTGGCAGTCCAAGGCGCTCATATCAGTGGGCCTCGGGTTCAAATAGTTTTTGCCCTGCTCTGCTTTGGTCAGATTGTGCAGCTCATAGGTCACATAGTAGTGGCTGATGTTGCCATTGGGACGACGCGGTGGCCACCAATGAAGCAGCTGCCAAAAAGATCAAGGAAAAAGCATAAATAGACAGGTAAAAACATATTCTGTATATCCGTACAATCTGTGTGCTGAGCTCCGAACTGCCATAGATCCTGGCCACGGGACTGGGTTTGTCCGGCAGCGTTTGAAAGTAGCAGATCTGTGAATACGCATCGATCTGCATGTGATAGTCGGTGCGCGTGAGAGTCTTCACGAAATATGCATACTGCGTGTGGGGCTTAAGGCCGGAAATAACATGACGCCGACTCTTGGTGGCCGACACATCCATGAGCCAGCTGCAAAGCGAGTTCAACTTGAGATATATGCATATCGAAATTTTTCTAGTTCCTGACTCACTTGTCGTGCCCGCAGCCATGTCGTCCATCGTACATGGTCACATTTTGGTCTGGAGCTTCCTTGTAGTAGTAGGAATAGCCAATCAATGTCTCCATGCCCTCCCAGTCCATGTAGTCCAACTTAATGCGCACCGCTGTGGCGCTCAAATCATCGACAACTGGCTTCAACGTTCGCACTGCGTCGCCACAAATGATGCGCTCGCCATTCGAGTTGGGCGAGACATCTGCCACGGATATCCTTTGCACACTCTTCAGCGATGGCTCCAGCTGCAGAATCTTTTCGTAGCAGAGGCGAGGGTTCAGGTGAAAGAAGATGGCACCCCGTTGAACGAGCACCTGGTGATTGCGTGGCCAAATATTCTCCAGGTGATAGTTGTTCACCACATAGAGGGCATATCTGAAATGGAAGAGGTATCCGAAATGGAAGAACAATATCATCGTTCAGAGTCTAGGGCACTCACTTGTTTTCAATCAGCTGATCACCGCGTATTACATCCAACTTCTGCAGAAACGACAAAGACATCAGCTGGGCTGAGTGCAAGACCTTCAGATAGCCAGTGATTTCCTTCAGATTACCCAATGCCCTCTCCAAAGCATCCACAATTTTCTCTAAAGTTAACAAGAAACCATATATAAATACATCTAAGACAACCCAACCCAAAGACGACTCACCCTTTATGGAAGTTAATTCGATGATTAGTGATCCATTGATGGTCGCACAATCCTGCAGGGATGCCAGGTCCGCTCCACTTTTCACATGAAACACACCCTTGCACTCCACCTGACAATTGACCAGTCCATTCGAATCGCGAACTTCCTTCTGATTGGGGGGACATTGCTCCACACAGCGATAGCCGCTAATGAGCGGTATCATGCCCAGCTGACGGCACTCCTTGTGGCTGATGCACTGCCGCTTATGCAGCTCGTAGCTGACCACACACTGATCCACACATTTGCCCTTGCTCCGATAGTTGCCGCACAGCGTACAGTTCTGATCCGAGCATTCCGTGACGCAACTGTTCTGGCAGCAATTTCCCGCATTGTCGCACCCATTGAGGCCACAGGTCGCCGGGCAGCCCTTGAGGCGTGGAGGCGTGAGTCGTATCTGGGCGGTGTTTATGTTCCAGCAGAAATCAGAGATATTCCGGCGGAAGGCATAGTCAGCTGCCAATCCTCCGCACACAGGACAATGACTCGGAGGTTTGTTATGCTGTAAAGTATTTAATTCAAAATATAAATAAGAAAGTGCCTTGGGCTTACCTTGAGCGAAAAATGCTGCTGGGTGCCATTGCTCAGGAGATGCATCCAGTCCACGGTCTCCACAAAGCACAGCATCGGATTCGTTTCGATGCGTATGAGACCGCTCTGAATGCGCAACAGCTCGACCAAGCCCAATTCCCGCAGATCTCGATTCTCGTAGACGACGAGCGCATATTGATCGAAGAGCAAGGCCTGACCCCGAATGATGCGCAATTTAGGAAATATCGCCTCCAGTGTGAGCAGCCCCGAGCAGCGATACACCATCAGATAGTCGCTGATTTCCGTGACATTGCTCGCGAGTAGTTGCACTTCCAGGCTGGCATTGTCCACGTCCACGTCCACATACGCAATCCTTACGTGACCGACCACGTGTGTACAGTTTTGGAGTTTCTGAAAGTCGGCGACCTTGTTCAGCTCCAGGGAGCCGCAAATGGTGTCGCCTCTGACCAGACTCAGCCACAGCCACAGTGAGGAGAACCAGAGCAGTAGCGGCAGTTGCCTCATGGCTGCCACCACCTGACACTCCCAATTGACAGCACTTGACCCGCCCGTTTGCTCGATCGTTGGGTGGGGTGGTGGATGGTAAGTAGGGAGTCAGCAATTAACGCCCGCTTGAATGTCAATGTCGCTGTATTTTGTCTGTTGTATTTCTGTTGTATTTCTGGCGATCTCTGGATAGTTCCAGACCTCGCTCTCTGGATCGCGTTCCGTTGCGTCGAACGCTTCGATTTTAACTGATTTACCCGGCGGCAGCGACAGCGACAGCGGCCTCTCTCTCTCCATATTCGATCGCTTCAATTAGCTTCAGCCCTGCCCACCGCATCTGCTTTGCCTTTCGTTTGTTATACCCTGGCGGAGAGTGTGCTTTGATTCTGATGAGATGTTTGCAATGCAGCGAAGACATTGCACAGCTGAGTCGATAAAGCAACACGCCGTACGCTCTATGAGAAAAACTTATCTCACATATTCACACACATTTGTTACATATCTCATGCAGCCCCACTATGTGCCAGTATACCCTGCAAGGGTATCAAAGCAGTCGGCCGCTGGATGCTTCTCTTTCATGTTATGGTTTTTTTCTGTTCGTGCGCCGCGCCCGTCTTCTGCTTCTAATCGGCTCACTACACCAGCTGCAAAATAATTGTACGCCAAGATTTAATTGTTTCACTTGCTCTCTGTGTGCTCTCCGTTTGCTGCTGGTGTGTAGCTGGACCGCTGGACGTACGCTGCCAGGGGCCGGGGGGTGAATTTTTGTGGGGGAATAGCATTTAGAGTGTTTACGTTAAGAACAGTAAACATAATACGCAAGATTCACTGAATATATATGTAGCTTTGTTTTAGCACACAAAGAATTCAAAAGATGAATCTCTGTGTACCCCTTATGACCCGCCTCTGGCATTCTTTTGCTGCTCCCCATCTTGGGGCGATCATTTTACCCATCTGTTACGATTCACGTTTATGCACGGCGTTTCTTGCTGCTGCTTCATTTGTGCCGGCAGCCCGAAAACACTTGTTACTCCTGCCTCCGCATCTCCTTGCCCTTCGCATCCTTTGCGACCTTGCAGCAGACGAAACGAACCGGTTCACCATTCCATTCTGTGTCTGCTCTCCTTCTATCGATGTTCATTCACCCTTTTCCTTTGCGCTCATGTTTTCTTTTACTTTGGCTGGGCTTGGCTTGACTTGGCTTGCGCTGTCGCTGTCGCTGCCTCTCTGTCTGCCGCGCTGCTTCTTCGTCAGCGGCGGGGTGAGTGATAACGAAAATGCACTGCTGCGCAGAAATTAAATTGCACCGACGAACAATTCAATTAGAGAGCAGGAGGAGGCGAACAAAACAAGCCAAACAAGACATGAAAGGAAGAGTGGAATCGATATACCGACAATGGGATACCCCTTAATTGGCATTCAATTGGATGCACAATCAACTGAATCGAAATAACTATTGATCCTTAGCAAAGATACAGTATGGTACATTATGGTAAATGGCAAAAAAAATTGTCTGCCTTTTCCAAACCCCGCAACAGTCTACTGATTAACTTTAGGGTATCAATACAATGAAGCATGGGCAAACCCAATTCAAAACGTATTGATGCAGACGGAATACTGTGAATAGTGAGCAGTGAACAATGAACAATTGGCAGTTCATTAAAGTGCACGTAACGCTGAGAAACCTCAATTGAAAATTGTTTTTCTATAAAAAGACGAGAATATAAATTTAATCAGCAGCAGCATCAAATAGAAGGACCTTTAAACTGGGAATACATCAAATGAATAAATATAAAATAAAATAAATGGGACATTTTTACATACTTCTATGTATGCATGTATGTAAATTTGTGTTCAATATATTCAATTACATATGACAATAGTAAATACCCATAAGCTAGAAAATCAATTCATTATTTTCCGCTGATGTGTATTTATGGTAAAAATGCATGTCCATATTTTATTAACATATTTTAATATTACTCTGAACTAGAATCCAATTTAATGAGCATATAATTTTTTTTATTTTCCATTTTATTATAGGATTTTGGGTCAGAGTACACTCTTTCGGCCATCCTCGGATTTATCCCCTCCTATGTTATAGAAAAATGTGCTAAAATAACGAAATTCGAAACTGCATTCATTTTAACGAGCACCAAAATTCCACACAAAAATATCTACTACAAAATCCACTGTGAACGTGTGAAAAAGCCACACAGGCACAACTATTCCGTTTTTTGCGCTTTGTTCGTTGCTTTTTCCAACTCCCTTGGCTGTGAATCAATTTACGCAGTAATTTGTCGGGCCTGCACTGATGTAAAACGCGGAAAATTTAATGCACCATACTTTCCGGCAGCACGTCAAACTATGAAGAGAGAGTAGACCGACGCGTACACCCACCGCCATAGCAGCATAGCAGTAGCCCACACAACCAGAGGCGCCAATTATTGAATATGCCAGAGGCAGGCATCGGGAGCAGCGAGAAAAGGAGCAGCCAGAACAGGAGCAACAGCCATGGGCCAAATAATCCACCAGGGAGTGGGAAGGAGAACGAGGGGGACTTCACCGCCAGTCCGCCAGTATCGGAGGCGGCAAACACGTAACGCCATTTTGCGGCGCGTGATAGGAATCCCTAGCAAGGACGTGTGCATATGCCTATCCAGAAGACTGGACTAAAGTGAGAAGAGGTACGGAGGCTGAAGGGCTGAGAGAACAAACTTAGTTGAGTGGAGGACATAAGTCAGGCCGTGAGGCAGGCAGCGTCCCACGCACGTCGCTGCATTTAAGTGCCAAATTAGAAGGCGGCCACGGGCCTCGGACGACGACTCGGGATCGGAGGGAGTAGTCCCTGTCCGTCCTATCCATGCACATGGCAGTCATCTATAAATCAAACGGTGATGCAATTTATGGCTGTGCCAATTCAATGAGGCCCCGGCTGCTGCTGTCTCATCATGACCCATTATTATTATTATTATTACGGGCCTTGACAGACTCGGAAATTAATTAAGTTTGCTGCAAAAATGCAATCCAGCAAATAGACAAAGGCAGCAGCAGCTGCTTGCTTTAGCCTCGGGTTTTCTCTTGAGCTTGTTGTCCCGGACTGCAGTCCAGTCCACTCCATTCGGTTGCATTGTGATTGATGTGCCGCCGAGCAGCAGCTGACAGCAGTCTCAGCTTGAGTGGGTGATGCACTTTGACACATGACAAAGCATGCTGCATGGTAAATCTAACACGGCCAACTGCTGCCGAGGAAAGCAATAAAAGCTTTTTGGCCAAAAAATACCCCACATAAGTGGTGTTCTTGGGAACGCTTTTGTTGAACTTTGTGAACAAAGTTGGGAAATACTTTTGGAAAATTAACTCAAAAAGGAGAAAGCAGCATCGAAGTTGAAACAAATTCAGTGTGACCTAGAGATCAGTTTCAACAACATTTTTTTGCTGCTATTTAATTTATAAAGTTTCTAAGATAAGCTTCAAAACATTGCACATAATTTAATTGGGGTCAATTAATTTTAGCTTAGTTTTGTTTTTATTAGTTCTATTCGATTAATTCAATTAAAAAATTTTTTTTTAATATATAACTCGTTGCAAATCATTGCATAACTGGACTTAAATCATTGAACAAACATGATAAATTCAATTGACCCGTAAATGAATTCAACAACAACAAAAACATAAGCCAGTCGAGCCTCTGCACGGCCTAATCACACTTGAAAGCCGACTGAAAAGTTTTTTAAATATTGGCAAATAATAACTAAAATATCAATTACGATGAATAAATTAAAATTGATTTTTATCTGAAGTGTTCAATTATTTTATTAACAGCGACTTTTCTATTAGCAGGCGTGTGCCAATAAAAAACAGAAAAGTGGCAGCAAAAAGTTGCAACAGATTACAAAGCAGGCCAGTGGGAATTAGAGTATTCAAGTTTACCAAATTGGCTAAAACTTTTGCAGCTTTAATTTGAATTTGTACCAGGCAAATGTAAAGTAAAAGTTTCTGAAAAGAATATTGAAAGAAGAATTTGAATTAAAAGTTAAAAGTTTAGTTGCTGGATGGAACTTGAGCTGCTACTAGAGCAGTAGTTATAGATTAGCCAATAGATGCAGTTTAAAATGGAAAACTTAGAAAACTCCATGCTTAAACTTAATTGATTTGAGTTGCCTATAAATTCCTATAAAATGTCAGCAGATCTTTTTTTATGCAAATATTTAAAAGTAATTCAGTGCGAAAAATGAATAATATTTTTGCTAGTTTTTGAATCACAGAAAAACCGAATAAGAATTCACATTATAGTTTTTAAATTATAATTCCGTTGTTCTGTGCACATCAATCATGGTGCTCCATCAATGCAAGCGTGTGTTACCACCCACCTTAATAGCTTATTAAAGCAGACTTTTCCCATACAATATTACTGTCCATCCAAAGTTGTCTACTCCTCGTCCTTCTCATTGTCAATGCATCTGACAAGCAGCATTTATGGCTGGCCCCACATAAAGTCAAGTTACGTCTACCCTTAGCTACAAGGATGCGGGCGACCTTTATGCCATTCGCATTACGCATACGCCCCGGCGTTTCATCGGTGAAATCTTCAGGTTTATGCTAAGGTCTGGTGCAACCGCACAGTCACAGACACACTTCACATTTCCTTCTTTGCATTTCTCCATTTTTATTTCAATATCCATATAACCCCATGTCAGAGTGCCTACGCCAAACCCCACCTCCCCATCTTCTCAAAACCCTTCCTGCAGCGCCGTTTTTATGCGTTCCTTTCATGCAATGCAAATCGTTGGAAAAATAGTTTATTTTTTTACATATATGTATGTATGTACATTTTTTTATGCAACTTTTCTCCCTTTGTTGCTTAAGCATGTAATTTATGTGTGCCTGAGTGTGTGCCACAACAATTTGCATATGTGGGCCAGCTCCACACACATACACACACACAGACACTCACACAGAGTCACATGCAAACGACACGTGCCTGTGGCAGGTGGAAAAATTTTTCTATTAGCCACGCATAAAGCTTAATTTATTGGCACTTGCAGCTCGGAATTTTTACTCCCGTTTTCGCCAGGAAGTTGCAATCATTTTTATCCGCCAGTCCCTTCCTTCGACCACATGCAGAGCGGGCAAAAATTTGGTTATCAAAGAAAATTAATAATGCATACACCCACACAAAGAACATGAAAGAAGGGCTGGCTGCAGCACCGAAGCTTTGGATACCCTGTATATCGATTAATATTAAATT